CCAAAGACAGCATCAATAATTTCTTGTGGGGAGAAAGGGAGATCGAGAGAAGAAAGATCTGTGTGATAATGAGGGTATAACAGATTCCAGTTGGGCCTCAGACTGGAGACTGGGGGTTTGCTGAAGAGGTTTGTGAAGAAGGAAAGAAAAGATTGTTTAATGTCACTATCGGATGTGATGAAAGAATCATTAATGAGGAGATGGGGAATGAAGTTTTTTCTGCGGTGGTAGGATGCAACTTTATGAAAAAAAGCTGAATTGTTGTCTCCTTCTTTCAGCCACTGAATACGAGATCTTTGCTTCCATTTTATCTCTTCGGCATTAGCAAGAGTAAGGACCTAGTCCTTAAGATCAGATCTAAGATGAAGCTCAAGGGAGGATAGGCTCCTGGACTCTTCGATTACATTTAGGGAATGTATTTGAGCCATAAGATTAGAGAGAAGATGAGGAAGGGATCCAAAGCAGTATCTTTTCCACCATTTGATTCTCTTTTTAATGAGTTTAAGCTTGAAGGGAAGGGACATATGGCGCTCTCCCCTCGGTGAGAAGGAAGCCTAGCTGGATACTATGAAGGAGTGAAAAGAGGGGGTAGATAACCACATCTTTTCAAATCTGAAAGGAGGGGGGACGACAGGGGAGTTGGTGTCTAGCATGACTGGGCAATGATCAGAACATTGAGCTGGATAAGCAAACTGAACCATAAGGGGGAAGTTAGCTTCGAAATCTAATGAGACGAGAAATCTGTCCAACCTGGCTAAGGATGGAGAGGATCTATGATTGGACCAGGTGAATTTTATCCCACTTAGGGGGAGGTCTATAAGGTGGACAGAGTCGATGAGACGCTGGAAAGCTAAAATATCTCTAAAGGAGCTGGAGCGACCACTTCTTTCTTCTGAGCTTAAGGTCATATTAAAATCACCAAAGACAACCCATGGTAAAACATGGGAGCTTCTAATCCTCTCAATTTCCCACCAGCAAACTTCCCTATCAGAAGGATCACAGGGAGCATATATGGAAGTTGCTACGAAACTCCAATTAGGAGGTTTATGAGTTAGGGTGGCCGAAACTGAGAAAATATCAGAGGATGAGGAAGAGCAGGTAAAAATATCATCATTCCATCCCAGGAGAACGCCCCCCCCTCGAATCTGAAGCATCAAGAGATACCCAAGATGAAATGAGATTACTACCCCCCCCCCCAAGGATTTGAGGAAAGAAGGGCTAGGGGCAGAGATTTTAGATTCCTGAAGACCAACCAGATTGACTTTGGCTAGGGAAAGGCACTCCCTGACCAACCTCCGCTTAGCTGGGTCGTTTAACCCACGGACATTCCAAGATCCTATACGCATGGATACCAATAATTTGCAACTTAGGAAGAGAGGAGGGGGCTCAAAGGGGAAGGACCCCTAGAGACATCCTATTTTGGATCTCAATCAAACCTGACGGATCCATCGGTTCTAGAACACCACAGTTCACAGAGATCTCCTCCAATAACTCCAGATCCGGTGAAGGGATAGGAGGAGTGGAAACAGACAAGAGGATTTAGGTTTGGAAGTACCTGAAAACTTACCCTTCTTAAGCATGGCGAGATGTTTCCTGAAGGGCCGGTGCACGGGGTGACTGCTTGAAGCTATTTCCTTTGCCCGTTTGGGCTTTCTCTTTGCCTGTTCAAATCTTGGGGGAATATCTGAGGAAGAGGCAAGATCCTTGGAATCTGAAGAGCTGATTTGGATGGCTGAATCATCTTTTGTAGATAGAGATGGAACGTCTACCAGATGGGGAAAAGCTGCTTTGAGAGTGGACCAGGAGTCTTTCGCGATGTCAATCGTGATGCCTTTGAAGGAGATGACCATGAACTCTGGCGGAA